TTCCAGTGGTGCAGGCTCCAGGTTCTGCACTGAGATTTTGTCTGTCCCGGTTATACCACTGGGATTGCATTTCCAGTTGGTTTCTCTCAGCTTAGTTCGTTTCTGGGTTGGCAGGGTACATCTCCCCTTGCTCAGGACTCCTCACACAGCACCACTCCTGGATTCTAAGCTGGTAATCTCAGAGAGCCTCCATGGCTGCTGTTATTTGTCCACCATGTTCTCCAATCAACATCATTTTTAATGAAGGTAACATGTCCACATTTCAAACAAGGCATGTCAATCAGGACTTGGGGAAGATGCTACAAAAATAATCATATTAGATATAGTGTTAGATAAGTATTTGGATCTGAGTTGGAGTGAACATCACTTTGGCACCATGCTAGAGTTGAAAAATGGCACTGGTAAGTTGGGGACCTTTTGAACTTGGGTCGTATCTAAGCATCATGTATATATTTGCCCTGTAGTCTGTCTTTTTCATTTAATGTCTTGGAGTTCTTCCTAGTCCGCACACTGGGCCCACTTCATCATTTGTTAACATCTGCAAACCTATTGACTTGCGAATAATCCTATGTGGGACCTATTAACCTAACCTGTGGTTGTGTGCCAGGCCCTGCTCTCCCTCACCCAGCACTGTCCGACTGACCGGGTCCCTGACCGAGCCTGCCTGACACATGTCCCAGGGTCCCAAGACCTGTGTGGGGTGGAGCTCGGGCTCTTTGACAGGACTGTCCTCTCCCTCTGTGGCCTTTTGGTTTCCCTCCTCTGGTCCTTCTGTTCATCCTTCTTTATGGAGTTCTGAGGCACTAGCCTTATTTCTCTTTGTTAATTATTGTCCTTACACTGTCTCTGGTCTGCATGTGTGCACGAGCTGATCTCCCCTTCTTATACGGGGGCCCACACTAATGACTCTGATAGTTTATTTTTTGATTTCTGTGTGTGTCATACATAAAAGTTGGATTCCTTTTGGGAAATTGGGAACATGTGCACATCACGTCTCCATCACTTTCTGTCCCCTCCCTCCCTCCCTTCCTCCCTTCCTTCCTGTCCCCTGGTCCCTTTATCTCCAAGAGGTCTGCCTCACTGTTTCCTACCAGCTCTCCCTTCTCTTACTTTTTCATCTGGACAAACTTGTGGATGGCCCTGGAGATCACAATGTTAAGTGAGACCCATGAGACACACAGCTTCAATATCATATGGGTTCTCTTCTATGAGAAACTCGAAGTGTAAACAAAGAGCAAAATAAAAGATCATAAGAGGTAGGGAGTGGATCTTTTTTTAAAGGGAAAGAGGGGATGCAGAGATGCAGAGAGGGGGAGACAGGGGAGGGGAAAGGGAGGAAAGCAGAGTTAGAATGTGTTCTGTACACAGACCAAGGCCCATAAGGAATGCAATCATTATGCATTGCACACATGTCCTGATAAGACATAAAAAGAAAGCAGGACAAAAAAAGAGAGACTCTGTGATATTTAATATCCTATGACTGACTTATTTTGCCTAACACTATGGTCTCAAGATCCGTCCATTTTCCTGAAAATGACATGATTTCATTTTTCATGGCTGCTATTCCACTGTGTACATAGACCACATTTTCTTTATTTGGTAGACTTCATCTTAGTGTGATTCTTTGTTTTAGAGATGCAGTCCACGTGGTGGTTGTGCTGCAACATGGGGTCCTCTGGAGGTTAGGAAGTTAACTGATGAATCGTGGGGGCCCAAATCCACTTGTAACAGTAGCTATGCACCAGAGCTCCAAGGGGGACAGAGATGACAACGGAACCTCCCTGACCCTCCCACTTCAGGGCTCTGGGTGGGCCGAGGCAGGCGTCTCCCTGCCAGCTGCCTCTTGGAGCACCCCGAGGTCCTCTCGGGGCTGGGAACAGCTTCCCCGATGCCCATCTCTGGGAGATCCGCATCCCTCAGTCCTGCCAGCCCCTCTGAACTGTGTTTAGTGAGGGCGTCTCCACTGAACTGAGTTGGAGCTGTTTCTGGAGTTGATGGGTAGAATTTGCTCATTCTTGAGTTTTCGGCCTCATTTATCCTCTGCCTGAGTGTTCCAGACCCAGGCACGGTCCATCCATTCTTTCTAGCAGAGCGATGGGAACCCATGATTGTGGAACGAGGGGATAGACAGATACTGAGAGAGAGGAGTGGTGTCCTCTGTAGTCAGGTGTCCCTCCTTCCTGGAGCAGCAAAGAGGGGACTGCAAGAGGAGCAGAGTGGGTGGGTGCAGAACATACAGAGAGCAGAGCTCTCAGCAGGGCTGGGTCTTCCCGGGATGTGGTCCACGGCACCATCGTCCAGGAGGTCAATGAACTGGAACCTCAGCATGACTGCCACCTCCTTTCCCCCTCTCTTCCCAGCCTGGCCTGTCACCAAGGCTGACTGGGTCCCAGCGTGACGTGCTCTGGCCTATCTGGCCCCTGTTCTCCAATCCCCTTCTGCCCACATGCACACGGCAGCTCAGGTGTCTAACCTGGTCGGGGCATGGAGCTGAGCTTCTGGGCATGTCTCCAGGATGCCTCGCACACAGAGCGCAGCCAGATTATCTTATACATTCCTGGGAAGAGAGCTGCATTGTCCCGTTTGCAGAAGGAGAAACTGGGTGCAGGTGGTTAATCAACCGTGTCAATCCCTCCACCTGGAAGGTTTGACACAGGGTGGGTGTGAGGGCTGCTGGTGGCCTCCAGTCTCTGGGACTCATGTCCAGCAAGGTCCTGGGGTGATGGATTGCAGTGCACCTGAAGCTGAGCTACTTAGCCTCAGTGCTTGTGCCCTGAATTTGATGAGTATGCTTCCCCCAGCCAGCCGGATGCAAAGCCTTTTAGGAAATCTGGGGGGTTCTATGAAGGGAGGCTTCATTTCCCTGGGCAGCTGGCAGCGAACTTCCACCCAATAGGCTCTTGAGGGGAGACTGGGACAAAAAAACTTTTTTTTTGTCCAGACTGCTTGTGCAATTTGGAAGATTTTTAGTGAATTAGAAAGCTTTGGAGACAAATCCCATTACTCAGCCCCCTGCTCAAAGCAGGCACTCAATAAGCCTTTGTTGAAGGCTGCTGAATGTCACTTCTTGGTCCTGAGATTCCCAGAGAATGTGCTCAGGAGGGAACTCGATGAAGATGTCAGCCAGCCTGACCATAAAACGTAATCTTTATGACTCCATAAAAAGGAACATGGACAATGGCTAGGATGTCGTCCATGAGCACAATAAATATTTCCCTGAAGTTCCTCTGCCCGTCAGGAAACCACATCACATGTACTTTCGAACCCGTGGTCTGTTTTGATGTTAGTAAAATGCTAGCTTTTTATTGGAGCTGATGGGGATTGCAATTAACGAAAGTGCACAATAATCATGTCCACTGTGATGGATGTCTCCGTGGTACAGCACGCGTTAGAGACTCACAGAAAGGACAGAGAGAGACTGGGATTTCAAGCACCTTCCAAAGGCAGTCTGTTCCGCTTCTGAATTGGCCCTCTGGCGGTGGCACAAAGGGAGCCCTTTTCGGTGGTGGTTAATCCGTCTGGGCCTCTCTTACTTGGAGGACTCAGTGACCTGACTCTTGGTAGCACTGCACACAATACCTCCTTTACTGTGGAGATGTCTGTGGGCTAGAAATGCAGAGGAAAGGGTCCAGGGATGTCAGGGGCACTGCCTGCTCACCAAACCCACAAATGGGAAGGCCCCTCCCTCTCGGCTTTTCTGGCTTCCCAGTTTGCAGTGAGCCACCCTGAATACACAAACAATCTTAGAACCACAAGGTTTATAGATGACATCGACTATGGGCTATTCCTTCTCAGCTGGATCTAGCATTAAACAGTGTTATGATTTCAATCTTACATATCCCCTGAAGTCCATTTGTTACAGGCTTGGTCACCAGACTATGGTGCCATTGGGAGGGGGTGGGGACTTTAGGAAGAGGAGCTCAGTGACAAGAGAGGTACTGGGGCCCTGGCCCCTTCTTTCTCTTCTCTCCTGCTTCTTGGCATCACGAGCTTAAGCAACTTTCTTCTGCTTTGTATTCTCCACTGTAACATGCTGCCAGTTACAATGGAGACAGCCAACCATGGACCAAAACCTCTGAAACCATATGCCAAAATAAACCTTTTCTTCTCATAGGTTGATTTTCTCAAGTGCTTGGTCACCGTGGAACAAAGCTGACCAACACAAACAACAAGCTATAGGCCAGCCTTGGTAGCCAGGGAATACTAAAATGCTGTGGTTGGGTAGACCACGGAGGCCACTCCTTGGGGGTTCATAATGCAGCCGGTAAGGAATGTGGGTGGGCAGCTGACTCTGTCACATCCTGTGCTGATAGATGTGTTGAACGCACGTGGGACAGAAATATGTCTCTCCAAGGTTGGAAACCAGTCGACTTTTTTTTTCTGGCATCTGCAAGATCACAGAATCAGCCTTCTTTTCTTCCAAACATTATTATTATGATTTATGGTGCATGTGTTTGCATTCACAGAGTTGGTGGTTACAAAGGATACAGGATACTCCTTTAGATCTGCGGTGATAAATCTCCCCTAAATCTCCTCCAGGTGAGATACCACAAGCTCCTTCCAGCCTTCCTTAAATGGTAAACTTGCCTTTCCATACGATCCCCAGTGGGTGGTTTCCATGTCACTTTTTGTCCTATTTTGTGTGCTCCTGGGAGCCCTCACTCTGAGAAGCTGAGGCAGGAGGACTGAAAGTTTGAGACCAGTTTGGGCAGCTGAGCAAGACTATTATAAAAAACAAAACAAAACAAAACAAAACAAAAACCTGAAACTGTAGCTCAGCATAAAAGCCCTGGCTTCAATCTTCAGTTCATTGAAAAGTAATATGTAGCTGTCGAAAATGAGCAAACTACAGAAAACTCAGAGAAGACAAAGACACCCCATTCACAGGCCCTCTTGCCAGGCACGCTGTGTCCTTCCCATCGCATGACTGAACTGCCAAGGTGCCCTGGGTCTGGAGTGCTCCGTGTCCTCTGAGCTGTCACAGTTCAGCCAGTGGAGCATTTCAGCCTCACATTCTATCCTAAGCCTCTGCCTGCCCTCCTCCTCAGAGACTGCGGCTGCTGGCCCCGGGTCTCTGCTGCCTCTCCTGCCCTTGACAGCGGTGCCCAGGTGAGAATGGGAAACCCTTTCCTTTCCCAGTGATGCAAGGCCTTCTTTTCCGTGGCTGTTGGGGTCTTGTGCCACAGAGGGCAGAGGGACACTCTTGTCATGGCATCTAATGGTCTCATCACTCACAGTCGAGACCTGAGCTGACACACATGGGAACCCTGACTTTGCCCGGGTTGTTTTCCAGTCCCCAAGCTCACTTACAATGACAAGTGGTGGCACCTGGATGCCTACAGAAGTCCTTGCTCTTGAGAACAGGGGACCTTTGGTTCCTCCCAGAGGACGAATGCAGAGTCTTGCCCTGGAGGGGTGTGAGTGTCTGTCTCTGGGAAAGTGGGTGAAGGCCCAGAGGGGACACACAAATGCTATCCTTCTCCTGAGCATGGATACCACTGCCCAGCAAGGCTTCCCAGGGCTGCCCCCGGCGGGGACTCAACAGCCGGGTGCCCTTGGGAACACCTCACCCCCAGAGGTGATCAAAGCTTCCAGTGGTAGCAGAGCCTGTGCAGGAACCTGGAGTCCAGGAGGCAGGGAGGGGACTGAGGAGAGACTTGCTGGGCTGAAGGCTCCTCTTCTCTTCCCTCTTACTGGGAAGTTGTCTTGCCAGGTCTGCATTAGATCTGACGCAAATCCTGGCAGTGCCAGTCTGTGAGGCGTAGGCCGCTTCTCTCCCGACCAAGAGCTCCCTTGGTAGAGGGTCACAGGCCTGCAGCTGCTCTCCGACCATGCAGCCCCATGGAGCTCAGTGGGAACTGCTTCTTCTCTTCTGGATCTCGGACTGAAGGGCACATGTGGTCCAGCCATGTCTAAACTGGGGGTGATGCCAGTTCATGGGATCCCACAAGTTCACAATTTCCCCCACGAACTCCATGCTATACGTGCCCCAGATGTCACTGGTGTGACAAGTTTTCCAGACCTGACGTTGCTGGGCCACCCTGTTTCCATCCTTTGTTGGCGCGTGCCCTTCAGTGACTGACTTCCGGTCTCGAGCAGACACAGAGCCCATTACAGCAACAGCTCCCTATGCTCGGCACCAGCAAAGGGTTTATTTCTATCGACTCACTTATGGGGATGAGTGCAGTGATTTTTTTTTTTTGCATTTTACTTATTTTTTTTTTCCAGAAAATGAAACAGTGACTCAGAGAGATTATACTTTATCTGAGGTCACACTGTTATCGATGGTGACACTGTGTTTCAGCCCTAGGGGTCTGCTTTCAGAGCCTGTGCTATTAAACTGTGCTAATAATTTGCAGGTGGGTAGAAGGAGGATTCAAGGGTAAAAATAAAGTATGTTGGTGTCGTGAAAATCAGTGCCCCACAGTTCAAGGCAGCTGCATTCTCACCCTGTATTCCTAATGGAGTGCCAGAAAGGGAAGAAGCTCCTTACATCCTCTTAACTCATGTAAGCTTGCTTCTTCTCCTACATAACAGCCACTGCATGTGTAAGGCTTCTTCTGGTACCATTTGCCCTAAAGTTTTAGCAGGTCCGTGGTGAGTCCTAAGCTCTCAGTGGTAATGAGGTTTTGTTTGCTGAGTTTTCTGCATGGTCCTCGATGTGAGGAATGATAAAAGTATAGTGAATGTTTACATTTAAGAAGCTTATTATAGTAAAAGAAATATTTCCACTAATCTCTTTCCAACTCTTCCTCTTTACTTTGTATGGACTGACCGCCCATTCTAGCCCCTTTCTGAAGTGACCTTGGGCGTCCTTTTCAGAGTGACTTTACTTATGCTGTCATGGTGCCTTGATGTGCTGAATGCATTCAAAACTTTTACCTTTCATGTCATTTAGATTTCAGGGAAGAGCCAGAAGTTGCACAGTGCTAAATCCAGAGAATAATAAGGTAGATGACAACATGTTATTTTTTAAAATTAGGTTTATTGGTACACTTTAGATATACATAATGTCACATTCATCATAGGGAATTTGTTTATGTTTGTGTCTGATTTATTTCAATTAAGAGTATGTTCTCAAGGTGCGTTCGTTTATCTAGGAATGTTTCAAGATTATCTTTATGGCAGAATAGTAATCCGTTGCATGAAAGAACTTCATCTTCTTCATCTGTTCATTGGTTGATGGGCATTTGGGCTACTTCCAAGATTTAGCTATTACAAACTGTGCTGATATGAACATGGGTATACATATATGACTGTGGTATGATGCTTTTAATTCTTTCAGGAAGCTATCAAGATGGGGAACATCTGGGTCCAATGGAATGGGACCTCTAGTCCTAGTTTTTTGAGGAATCTTCATGCTGATTTCCATAGTGGTTGCCCTGGTCTGTACTCCCACCAACAGTGAAGCAGGACTCCTTTTTTCCCACAGCCCTGCCAGCATTTGTTATTGGTTGATTTCTTGGTAACAGCCATCCTTTCTGGAGTGACACAGAATCTTTGTGTTGTTTTAATTTGCATTTCTCAAGTGACCAGTGGTATTGAACATTCTTTCATGTATTTATTTGCTGTTTTTAGTTCTGTATCTGAGAAATGTCTATTTATTACAGATGCCCATTTTTGGATTTGGTCTTTAAATCTGGGGACCTGATGTTTTTGAGTTCTTTATATGTTCTAGATATTAGTCTTTAGTCTGAAGAACAGTAGGCAATATTTTCTCCCCCACTGTAGGTTGTCTTTTCACTCCGTTGCTTTCTTTTGCTGTGCAAAAGCTTTTTAATAAGATGAGATCTCAGTTGTTGATTCTCTGTGATCTTTTCTACGGGGTCAGGGTCTTGTTTATAAAGTCTTTGCCTACATCAAAATCTGCAAGAGTTCTACCTACTTTATCTTCCAGAAATTTAGTGTTTTTGTTTTAATATTTATATATTTGACCCATTTTGATTATAGTTTAGTGCATAGTGGAAGATATGGATGTAGTTTTAATCTTAAGCATTTGAGTTCTTTGTCAAAAATAAAGTGGCTGAGTATGTCTGGAGCTGTTTCGGTATCTTCTAATCTGTTCCAGTGATTCTTAGGTTTGTTTTTTGCTAGTGCCATGCTGTTTTTATGACAGTAGCTTTATAATATAGCTTCAAGTCAGAGACTGTGATGCCCCTGCTTTGCCTTTGTTGCTATTCTAGGTCTCTTCTGGTTCCAAATGAATTTTAGGATTGTTTTCTGTAGTTCTGAGAGATACACTGTTGGAATTTTGATTGATTCTCTTATCTTTGTGTCAATTTGACAAAAAGCCATCTATAAATGACTAACCAACAGCCAACATCATACTAAGCGGTCAAAAACTAAAATATTCTTGTCTTGCTCCAGATTTTAGAGTGAAAACTTTTAGTTTTTGACTGCTTAGTATGATGTTGGCTGTTGGTTAGTCATAGATGGCTTTTTGTCAGATTGAGACAAAGACTATCTACTTGAATTTTCTGAAGGAGTTTTATCATGAATGAGTGTTGGACTTTATTAAATGTTTTTTTTTTTTTGCATCTATATGACCATGTGGCTTTTGTCCTTGACTCTTTTGATGTGCCATATTGCATTTACTGATTTGCATATGTTGAACCATTCATGCATCCTTGGGATGAATCCTACTTGCTCAGAGTTTATAATCTTCTTGACTATTTGCTGCATTTTGTTTGCCAGTGTGTTGTCTATGTTCATGAAGGAGACTGGTCTATAGTTCCCTTTTTTAGTTGGATCCTTCTCTGGTTTTGGTATCAGGGCAATGCTTGCTTTCAGGGGTGAATTTGGGAGTATTTTCTTTCCTTCTAATTTCATGAAAGAGTTTTACAAGCAGGGATGTTAAGTCTTCTCTAAACTTCTTGTAGAATTCAGCAGTGAATCCATCAGGACCTGAGCTTTTTCTTTGGTAGAGTTTTAATTATGTCTTTACTTTCAATGACCAATATTGGTTCATTTAGCATTTTTATATTTTCTTTATTTAGCTTTGGTAATTCATTTGTAGCTAGGAATCTGTCCATTTCTTCTGTATTTTCCATTTTATTAGAATACAGGTTCTCAAAGTAGGTATTGATGATGGTATGGCTTTCTGCAGGATCTATTGTTATTTCACCATTTTCATTCCTAATTGCATGGATTGGAGTCTTTTCTTTCCCTTTTGATAAGATTGGCTAAAGGTTTGCCAACTTTATTTAATCTTTCAAAGAACCAACTTTTTGATTCATTGATTCTTTGTATTTTTTTAAGCTTCCATTGCATTAATTTCCACTCTGATCTTTATACTTTTCACCCTTGTACAAGCTCTGGACTTGACTTGCTCATCTTTTCCTAGAAGCATAAGGTTCAACATTAAGTTCTTTGTTTGATTCCACTCTATTTTCCTGATATAGGAATTCACCACTGTAAGTTTCTCTTGTAGGATGACTTTCATTGTGTCCCATAAGTTCTGGTATGTTGTTTTGGCATTATAATTTAACCATAGAAATCCCTTAATTTATTCTTCAATTTCTTCTGTGATCTTTTGGTAACTCAGGAGAATGTCATTTAACTTGCATGTTTTTTTGAAGTTCTTATGGTTTCTTTTGCCATTGATTCCCAATTTCATTGCACTATGGTCTGATAATATGCATAGAATAGTTTTAATTCCTTAGTATTTAATTAAACATGTTCTGTGAGCTAGTAGTTGTATATTTTGGAGAATATCCTATGTGCAGCTGAGAAGAATGTGTATTCTGATGTGGGATGGAACACTCTTTAGACATCTACTAAGTCCGTTTGTTTATTCAAGAGTTTGTTTCAGTTCTAATCTTTCCTTGTTAATTTTTTGTCTAGTTGATCTGTCAGTTTGCAACATGGTATCACAATTGTATTAGTACTTATTTGATTTTTTAATGTCTATTATTATTTGTTTAATGTCTAATTTTTAAAAGTCTATTATTATTTGTTTATCTAGTTGGTGTAATGGTATTTTCTGCATACATCTTATGATCGTTATCTTTTCCTCTTGGATTTTTCCCTTTATCAGAGTGTAGTGACCTTCTTTGTCAGTGACTTCTCTTAGTTAATATTGGCTTGTAAACTACTTTGTCTGCAAATAG